TAAATCCGAGCCCTAGTTATGACTTATGTATAAGACTTAGTTTATAAGGCTATAAGTTTTAATGACAGCCAGTTCATTTTATTTTATGACATCGAACTTCCCAAAAATCCTTATCGAAGTATTCAAAAACTTTAACCATTAATTATTTTCTCTATGAGTGACTTCCGTTTCCTTTTTAATATAATACAAAAAGCATTTCTATTTACTTATACAAACAATTTACCAAATTCTAGTCAGAATTTTTTAATGTTCTATGCAAATGAATACTACACCACCGCCAGCACTGTAGTTTTTCACCATGAATTGATTTCAAACCCAAAATCCTACATCCAGCTTTGACATCTTGTAAGACTTTTCCCTATACGCTATATACAATTTCAATTTATTAGACCTTAACATTTAAAACGAAATAAATAATAATGTAGGAACTATTATTTGTAAATTGTAACATTATTAAGAGGACGCCCCACACGGACATTATTGTTGTCTTAACTGTACAAACGTACATGGCAAATAAAATGTACAGTTTAAAAATGGTCATAACTTCCTTATAAATAATATTATCGATAAAATCCTTCATGATGCCCTCGGTTATATTCTTGCCTTTAAATATTACAAGAGGTAAATTCATTCTAATTTCAGAAATGACAGAGTGAAATGTATTATTGTGAACGTAAAATTTGCGACGTTGTACACTGGTACGTTTGTAAGACGAAAAGAACAAATGCCCATGTGGCGTCCTCTTAACACATACAAATAAATCTAAATTGTTTATCACAATTTTGTAGCACCTATGTGAAAATATATAACGTGTTTTAATGAACATGAAAGAGAAGTTAAAACAATATTTTCGAAATTTGCATGTTTTGGAGCCTTTATTTACTCTACATCTTGAAATCGTGGTCCATTGAACACAGATTTTAATCCTAGAAAAAAAAAAAAATTATTCTGCAGCGATCCTTCTCGTTTGTACATTTCGTATATTAGAATGTGATGACATTACCCGTAGACCCAACCAAGATTCCTATTACCTCATTTAATAAGCCTCGCACTTTTGCCTCAACATATTTATTTTTGAATGTCTATGGTCTAGGTAGGTATGTTTGAAAAATGTAATAAACTAATGTTTTGTAACCATATAAAAAAAGTAAAATAATGTGTTATATATACATATAAGAAATATATTATATAGTTTTACACAACTCGTACTCGTACACGGTACACCGTTTGCCACTTATTAACTTAATATATATATCTACTCTTGTCCTACCTAATACACCAGTTACCAATTACCGTATTATTCCTTACCTTTTATATATACAAGACATATCAAGCAAGTTAATGTACAACTGTACATAAGGTTTGTATATAAGACATTAAAAACACAATTGTTTTTCCCCCTTTGATAGCGCCTCATCAAAAATATATCACTCGACTTCACTCAGTGGCACCCTTAATTACCGATTGACCGGCTATACAATATAGAGCATTGAGTAAGCCGAACTGTCATTCTATACAATCATTTTATGGTTGCGATGTTTAATCGTCGAGTAATATTATCTCATGCTTTAACAAATCATCGCGTCATTTGTTTGCAGAGACTTAGGTACCATAAATTGTAGAAATTCCCACATATGTAAGCGTGAGCACCAGGTAGGTGGTTGACTTTATTCTGTGGGCATTCATTTGTTTAGGTAGGTCGTAGGCAATGGTAAATAGATTGGAGATCTGGTTATCAAACGAGCGTATAATGGTAACATTGGTTAAAAAATGTTACGAAGCACAAATAGTTGTCAAAATAGAATTGGGGTATACATTTTAATACCTACTTACTTCTATAATTTATAACTATCCTGCCGATAATGTTTATTGTGGAACTGGTACTTGTTTAGACAATAATAATATATTATATTTTTATTTTTAAATGGAAATTTGTTTTCTTAATAAATTGTTCTCATCACATCTACTTTTTAAAGTTCTAAAATTTTTTTTTTTTAATGTTTACAGTAGTTTCCAATATTATTACCTCCCTTATTATTGGTTTTCATCTAATTGTAGTAATTACTAATTAAGTACCGCTTGTCTCCGGTGAAACGAGAGCTAAATCAGCACCTAGCGAGTGCTTCACGACGAAACATAGATCTGTGTACTTATTTTTAAATCTCTATATCGTAATAAATGCACCACAATTGGTTGGATTGTGTGTGCCAAGTAGTTGACCAATCTCATAATTGCTGACAATGGTCTGGGTTATTGAAGTACATAAAACTTTTTATGTAAGTGCTCTAAACGGTAACATCACCAATGTTTATCAGTGTCGCTATAGTATGATATACTGTGTATACAGCGCGATTTACCAAACACTCAGTATTCTCCAGGGGCGGATCCAGAAATTCATCAAAGGGGGGGGGGGGTAATAAAAATATGTCCATCAGATACTATTCATACCTACTTAATAACATACTTATTAATATAAACATTAATTACTTATTATTTCCTTATTAATATTCACCATTTAGAATTTATTCTTACAAACTGGTATCAATGACAACATTTTTATAAAATAAACGAAAAAATTCAACCGACATTTTTTTTAAAAATTAATTTATAAAATGTAAATATAATAAGCTCAAGGGGGGAGGGGGGTATTTACCCTTTTACAACTCCCTTGGATCCGCCACTGGTATTCTCACCCCCTTTTATAATGAAACTATTCAAATTCTTAATTTGGAATTTTTAAATACATTTTTTAAATTCTTGAATATTTTTTTGGTGTAATTAAGTAGTATCCTGCTGTGGCTCAAACTTGTTTTTCAAATGAGAATCCCCCTTTTCGAATGTAATTTATTTACCAGTTTATTTTTGTGAAAATATTGACGCATCACAATTAAAATGCAAACAAGTAGTTTTTGAGTTATTTAACTTTGTGTTCTAAGGATAATTATAGGTCCATGATAATGGGTTTGGAAAAAATTGAGGCTATGGTGATTTAAAAATGAGTTTGATTAATATTAATTTACTAACAAATACTGGAATACTAGATCCAATGTTAAATCTGAAAACTATCTTTAATGATTATTGTCCTTAAAATAAACACTTTTAACAACTGAGAAACCAATCATTCAAATTTTGAATTGAGTACATCAAATTAAAAAAAAAATATACAAACTAATTAATTTACAGTAAAAAGAGGGGGAGGGGGAGTTTCTCACTAGAAGAACAGAAGTTTGTATCATCACAGGACACTTCTAAGTGGTACTAAAAATTTCAAAAAACAGATTTTGAATAATTGTATTAGGCATTAAAGAAAAAAAGGAGGTGAACATGCTCGTATAATCACCCTGTATAATATTTAACACGTGCATATAACATGTTACGGCGTTACGCTATAAAAATTATTATTCCAAAATAATATGCAAATCCTAAATGTCGTAGTGCGATAAATATTGTATTGTCTTTATATTATACAAATGTTAATAAGATATAATAATTATAATAGGCGAAAATAAGCTTTACATTTTGTAGGGGGAGGCTAGGTTATTTTATAAAATCCAAGAAATGTTATTATTTTTTCAAGTCATATATCTGATCAGTTTTTGCGGTTTTAATCATCCATCTCTCTTATTTATACCTATGGTCTTAAGTGTTTAACATACCTCATCTACGACTCAAACCGTTTTGTTAAAAATCAAAATAATGCATTGCACATAACCACACAAATCAAGTACTATTACGTATCATTATAACCGCGGAATTTTCGTATAATTGTCAGGCGAAAGATTTCAAAAAATGACCGCTACAAGTAAATCATGATGAAAATGCATTCAACTGCAGGCACCGATGGGTGGGAACTACATCATAATTTATTGTATCACTGATAAAAGCCGTGATGGCGCAATGGACATGCATTTTTCGAGGTCGTATATTAAATTACACACACGTTCCCCTCTTCATTTGACGGAATGTATATAATATAATATATTATATTTTAGTGACTAATAAAAATATTGATCCTTCCGGAAATTTCTCAATTTCATCTCGAATGACTGTCATAACGTGGTTTGTTTTGTACGTAAATATTCTTTTGTCGTTTTGTAATTTAAATTATGACTGTAAAAAATTATTAGTTAACATTTCTGTCATATTTTAATGTTTTGAAGGAATAGTTGAAAGCGTTAAAAACTGAAGATACATTTATAAATTTATTAGATAATAATGTCAATAGCCAATCTTCAACAGTCGACTAAATAGTATTAATTTCATGCTAAATAAAACTACTGACACTATCAGTGATTTCAGTTATTCATAATAATATTGATAACAATTATAATCAATGATACTACTCGTATTTACTAAAATGGTGTGTAGTTTTTATTTCATAAAATGAGTTAACATTTCTACAAAACCGGAGAATAGTTTATTTCGTGAAACGGAAGTCTCTTGTACCTACCTTAGGTTGTTGTCTTCATTCACTGAAATAAAAATAATTGTGGTCGCAGATCAATGACTGTTGAATTAACCGTTGTTCGCAAACCACAACATTCACCTGTCGTAGTAGTAGTTAACTACAATAGTAAATCACTAACAATACCTAGTGTATAACCAACGCCGCCGCAGTATTAATAATAATAATAATAATAATAATAATATTAAAATCCAATACACATTCACTGATCTACGTCTTTCAAATTAACATTTTTCTTCCAAACCTAGTAAAGGTATTCAAAGGGAACACTGGTCTACAAAATGTTTTCACCTAAAAACAATATCATAAAGATGATAATAATAGATAAAAAATAAAATAAATATTATTAAACGGATTTAGTTTATTAGGTTTCAAATACAAATATATATATCAAAAATATGGTTTACACAATTTGATAGTTTATAGTTTTATAGTTTATCTTTACAGTAAGTCGTTATGATCCCTGCGAACAATTACAAATATAAATAAAAAAAAAAAAAAAAACACCAGTCATATTATGTACTTATAAAATGTCTTTTTTTCTTAAATTTTTTATTGTCTTGAATAAAACAGTATCTAATAGTCTTATATTGGCAGTCAATTTGGACTTAATTGACATAGCTGTGGTGTGCGCGTTTTTTCAACACACTCAGGAGTGTGTATACACCAAGTGGTCATCGTACAGTTAAATATCAATATGGAATGTTGAATAATTAATTTTGAGCGTACATGATAATTCGTCGAGATATGCACATCAATAATATTACTATATATATATATATATGTAGTACAAAAAGGCACTTATGGAATTTCATTGTTAACATACATATTTAAATAATATATAGCTAATAATAATAATATAATATAAATGTATTATATCATAAGAACTTAAGAACTAGACAAAAAAAAAAAGTCAGTATTAAAACTAAATCTAAAATAATAATTATTACAGCTAATTAGCATCACATATATGTTTCATGATTATCTTTATATAATTCATAAATGACATTCACGAGGCCCAAATTTTTTTTTTACGTATTTACATATTTAATAAGAAAGAATAAGACAATTTTGTACAATGTTTGTGCGAAATTCGATAATTTACTTTTTTTGTTGTACAGGTATATTAAAAAATTATGTTTTATTACCCGAATATGTTTGATTGTGGAATGTTGATGTTAAAGTAATATAGTTAAAATTAATATAAATACATAAAACATATGAACACATAGTTTGCTCAAAATGGAAGACTCGAAAGATGTTTCGATTATTGCAGAATATACTAGTAATGTAACTAGTAACACTATTATGAAACTTATGAAGTGGCACTACCACTGCAGTGGGTAGTGACAATGATGAATCTTAAAATAATTTATAGTATTTAGATGAATAAATATTATATTGTAGGTACCTAATAAAGAGTAAACAGTTAAAGTTTTAAGTAATCTGCAGAGATGAATTATTAACATACAAGTAAATATTTTTAATGGCCAATCATTATTTTCACAAGGATTAGATAGCATGAAACCACAGGTTGTCAATGCTCTAAATATTATGTTAACATTAGGTGTCGTTAAGAATGCAACCAAATATCACATTCGCAACACATGTCTGTAGCCTGTTTAAATGCCACAGAAGTTATATTGTATGTAATGTAGAAGAAAAAATGAGACCAACAATAATATACCTTGTTATAAAAATAAGAATATAAATGAAAATATTGTGAAAATTGTTTTTCAAAATTGTCAATCACATTTTAAAAACCAATAAGGTTATTCATGAACACAACATTTTTTAAACTGCACAACCCCTGTGTTCTCCGATAAAGGCGATCGGAAATTAAATTTAAAAAAACAATATGAATAGATAGCTCTATGCTTCTATATGGGGTGATAAAAATTATATTGAAAAAATAAAACAAATTGTCTAAAATTATTGCTTATCCATTCTTTGATTATCCTAAGCTAACAATTTTGTGTTTAATTTAGTATTTAAATACATATTTGAAGTTGAATCAAGTCATATTTATACGCTCTGCTTACCGTCCAACCGCTTGGCTAAGTCTGATACAAGTTCCTTGAAAATTAAGGGGTCAATGTTCTTTCCCAACTGGTATAATACGAACCAATCACCGATTTGGCACTTCTTAGTAATGGTTTCGACTTCGTCCTGAGGAGCCAAACGAGATCTTGCTCTCAACAACAACAAACGGAATTTGGGCATCACTACAACAGCTGTACGGTACACCAAGTTGAGACCACTGAGTACAGCAACAAATAAGAACCAGAACCACAGGAACACATAGATTTTTTCATTGACAATGTTGAGTGGCAACACACAAAGACCGTCTAACTTCTGGATGGATCCAGATGGACCATATTTGTGGAATGTACACTTTGTAACTTTAGGAAACACCCGAGCCATGGGATCTTCTCGTTCTTCAGGCTCCATTTCAGTGAATCGCAGCACATCTGAACCGTACGTACTGAACTCACCTTCGAGGAAGTAGTCCATGAAGAATATCTGAGCGATGACGTTGACAAAATTGAGGAACTCACAGAGGAAGAAGCGAATGGCGTAGAAGTTCTGAGTGTGCAAGTTGGTGGCAAAGTAGTCAATCAGCAGTTTCTTGCGGTCGGTCTTGCATTCTTCGCTGATAATCGGGCAGTTGAGGTCGAGCACAAGCATCTTGATGCGGCCGCCCTCCCACGTCTTCCACATGTACCTGGGCAGGTAGAAGAACATTGCTTGGAAGAAGAGCACGAAGCACACCCACTGGTAGTACTTGTGGTACTTGACCTCGTCCTCGCCGTCCACGTGGGACGCGACTCCCGGCTGGACCACGTCTTTGCCGATGCGGCCACCGAGACGGTTGGGTATGGTGAACGTCGAATATATCCAACAGTACGTGTCCATGATGTTGAGCGGCACATCGTCGACGATGCAATCGATCGGGTCGCCGATGTACTGGCGGGACGTGACGAGCAACGAGAACGCCACCAGGATGATGACAGTCGCCTTGTAGTGCAACCGGAAGATGTTGTTGTCGATGCAAACGCTGTCGATTTTCAGTAGCCCCTTGACGGAGCCGAACACGTCGAACATGGCGGCGGCGGGCTTAGGCGCGGGTTATACTCACTAAACGGGAAACACACCGCCGGAAATCGGAAACTCGTCGTCGACGGCGACGGCGGCGGCGGCGGCGGCGGTCGTCGGGACGAAGGAACGAGGAGAAAACGTCTTCAGCCCGATCTCACGTGCGTGACGGGGCGCGCGTCATTTGGGTAGAGACGCTAAAAGATCGGTCGCGATGCGTGTGTCGTGTGTGCACGTCGATTGTCGGCGCGCGCGCGAGCACAAATGCATACGACGAAGACAATAATATTTGAATCGTTTCCGAAAGAGGGCGAAAAAAAAAAACTCGATAAACCGAACACGGTCACATGGATGTACACACGCACGTCGGACGAGCTCGGCCGTTTCTCGTGGAATGATTCGCGGCGGCGGGCGGCGGCCTGCGCGTACTGCGTGCGGTGGGGCGACGGCTGATTGTGGGTGCGCGTGCGCGTGAACGTCGTCGGCGAGCCGTTGCGTCCGTGTGTGCAACTGTGACGGTGAACCCAGTAGGAGTGAGGGGGGGGGCGTCGGGTCAATGGAGTCGGGCGGCGCATGCGCGAAACGCCGCGTCGACGGGCCTGCCTGCCGCCGGCTGGTCGCTACTACCCGTACGCGAACGGGTCTCTCCGGCCGCCACTCTCTTTTGTTAACGACGCATCGTCGTCGTCGTCGTCGGCGACAATACACCGAAGGGAAAACCGGTTGTGGTGTTCACCTCTCTCACTCGTTCCAATGGCGGCCGGGCCGGACGACCGATCGCCGCCGCCGTATCGGCACAACATTCCACGCTCGGCGTGTCGTCTCCGCACCGCCGCCGCCCGGCTCCGACGGCTGTGCGGCAGACGGTCGGCCTGGCCAGCCTGCCAGCCACCGGTTCGCGAGCGCTAGCGGTCGTCGGTGGCGGCGGGACGGCTTCTACACTACCCGGGCGCGGTGCACACCCGCCGCCGATGTCCCGCCGCGGGTTCCCAATTTGTGCCGCGGCTGCAATAATTCTCATCGTTCGAGAAATGCGTTTCGCGTCGACGCCCATCTCTATCCGAGGATCGTGCCCGTGCGGCCATGATACTCTATGGGTCTTTACGATCTTACGGATCGGTTCGAAAAAACGTTTCGATAAACGTAGTCGGCGACGGTGCCCTGCGCATCGCCGTGTTCGTCATTGCAGCCGACAACAATAATGCCCAAAGTCGCCTCTCTTCGTATCGTATCATTAAAACATCGTAAACGGTATCATTTAGCGTAAACCCGTTCGTTTTCGTCGTCGACGAGTGTTTGGCACATATTTACTGCATTGGCCCATTATTATAATCACGCTCGACCCAATGTCCGTCATTATAATCCATCATACTCGCCACTCGGGTGCATGTGAAATATCGCCAGTTAATTGGACAGAGCATGGTACAACATTATTTCGTGCATTTTTTCGTCATGACCATTCCACTGTCTGCCACCTACAACTATTATACCATATTGGTACACGAAACGTGACGGATCAATTATAGGTGCAATCTGCCTGCCATGTATATTATAATCATACCTCCTAAACGACCAATAACCGATCGATCGTAAACACGACGAAACGTTCCAAGTGTACCTACTTAATGTACGCCATTATAATAATAATTAATATGGATCACAGACCGTCGTGTAAACAATTGGGTTATCTCACAGAAATGTATGTTGTGTGGTATCGTTGAGCGGTAATAGGAATACCTACGAGCGAATAATCGATTTCAAAGTATAAAATATAATATCTGACTGCCGAGGGAATCTAATAGTAATTAATTTTATAATATTTATTATAATCGCGTTTGAACAATGTTCCTGTACCTTTACGAACATACAAACATTACTCGGCGTCGCTGATTCGCTGCGTCTGAGCAGGAATTTTACCGGTTTTTAATCGATAATTAAATTAAATTAAACAAACGTACCCGATGTTTTTTGATTAGATATGTTTAGTATACGATGTAACTCATAAAATAATCGAAACATTATTAAAATTGATCGAAACGTTGCTTAAATCGACGCGATAACACATACTTTATCATATTTTCAAGCATACCATGAACATTTTTTGATGTTATTTTAATTTTAAGTATAACATAAAATAGGTTTCCTTAACCGTTTTTTTCTTACCCAAAAATTGTACGACGAAAAAACAATTTTTTTTATATTGTTTAGTGTTTACGTTAACAACGCTTGAACATTTTTTTGTCTTCGATATCTAATTTCAAAAACCTTGGTCACCGTATGAACCACACTGCAACCGGTCGACAGTCTACGTTGTTATAGTTGTAGGTGTCTAAACTTTTATAGTATTAATACTCACACACAGTCTATAAATATAAAAATATTATAAACTCGTCAAAACTGCTGTATTGCATTGTATATACGATGACGTGTAGGTCATCGCATAATATACATAATAATATTATACTTTAACGTTAAACAATGACCGATCCTTGATTCATTCGGTTTTCTGTGGCACACGTCGTGTTTATAGAGGAAAAAGTTAATAATAATAAATGAATAGGTTATAAAGGAAAGAAAAAAATAATGGTAAAAACAGCAGTGACTGTACAGCGTACACCCTAATGAGTAATGACCTCGTACATAAATGACGTATATAGTGATACTAATTTGTTCGGATATTATAAGATTGAATCATTTTGCGTCGATCCTCCGGTTGAAGTAAAAACTGCGCTCTACCGGTGCGATTACAGCCAGACGACACGTTATACGGTGAAAATAATAATTCGTACATTTCAGTACTTCAGCCTTTTTTCCTTATATACCTGCAGATGTAAGTATAGATATAACAGCTTGCCATACGTTCGACGTAGTGATTTATTCGTTCACCTTTACCGCCATTCCCGCGAAGAAACACGCCGAGAAATAATAATCATTCGATCATAAAATATATTATATTAGTCATGTTAGCGGTGTATTATAATAGCATACATTATTAATTCTTGGTCTTGACTTTACCTATGTATAAAATATGCGACACGTATTTGCAGTACCTACCCAGAAGCCGGTCCTGCAGTCCAGACGAGGCGTGCTGCAGCAGCAGTAAACCCGGTTGTATAATCATATGCATAAGTAATACGTACGTATATGTTACGAAATTCGTACTCGTTTCGTATCTCGGTGTATATTATTTATAATTATATCCGATCGAACACGAATCGTCGCGTGTTGGCCGGAGGAAATGGTGTCGGTCAAACTCAAGGTGAGAAATGTTTCGAACGATATTATAAACATAATAATGATATATAGACGATTTTCTTACCGGCAGCGTTGCAGTGTTGTATACCTATATTACAACACAACGTTTTGTCTACTCGTCGAAGCATCATTACGACTTACGCGATACATATATAGTAATATCACATCGCATACCCGTGATATATATAGAATAATACATTAATATCCCGCTGGTTGTCGCTGCAGGATCGGGCGGATTCAGCCGGGGTTGGAGGAACTTTGGATTCCCAACACAAATTTTCCCTTCTCCTGGGGAACAAACAATATCATGTTTATAGAAATTAAAACATTGTGCATCGCCATTGTGTATGCGGATATATTGTTGATATACCGAGAAATTTCTTCCGAACTAGGCGGGTCTGACGAAAGAAAAACACCTGTTGTCGAAGAGCATCAACAGTCGAGGCATTAGGCGATCTTATAGAGGTGATAGAGAAAAGAGGCGATTTTATATATGTATAATACGAGCGTTTATTATATTGTCAAACTCAAACGATCGAGACTCGACAAGCAAAAAAAAACGGTCGCATTCCCTCTTTTCTATGGGTTTGCAAATAGGTATATACAACCGAGCTCGTTTTGTTTGTTGTCCATCGAAAAAAATTCATCTCGACCGTTTGACGTCAAAAGTAATACCATTGGGCATTGGCTATTACAATATATACGAGTATTATAGGTATGCATACAATACTGCGATTGTGCATCATCGCTGGCGCCCATTAGTTCAAAACGGTCGGTTTTCTAATGATGTCTGTGCATTATTGTTATTTATCTCCGTATTTATTGGTACGAACTCGGCCGTCCGTATAGTAGACCCTACCCTGCCATTACCCATTTCGCCAAAATATTACAGTAAATACATGAAATTATGTAAATATAATATATGATCCGAAAATGAAATATGTACCGTATAGGGTAATAGGAAAAAAAGGCAATTGAAAAAAAAGCAACGGAAAAAAAAGCAGTAAAAAAAAAGCAAACGGAAAAAAAAACAAATGAAAAAAAAGCAAACGGAAAAAAAAGCATTTGAAAAAAAAGCTAAAGGAAAAAAAAGCAAACGACGCACATTTTTGTTTTTTTTTTTAAAAAGAATTTTAATAACTCAAGATAATTACAATATTTTACTTAATCAGTGAGAAGTGTAAAATATATACGTGGTTTTTTTGTAGCTTAGCCCTTTCCTCCTTTTCCCTATCTTCTCCCCCATTAAAAGGTTTTATATTATTTATTAATTATTTTTTTTAACCATTACTTAATATGTTATGTATAGCAAACCATTTTAAGGAGAGAAGCAAAAAATGTTCCTCCTTTAAGTATAATAATATGTAATAGTTGCCTATTTACATACAATTTAGTTAAAAGCTTGGATGTGATTTATTATGATTGTGGCGGTCCAGTTTGACTTAATATGTAATATGTAGGTACTACGGACGCTCGTCGAAGCTCGTGCCGCTTTCCCCGACAAATGATTAGAAACAACGTGGCACTTGGTCACTAAATAAGTGATTATTTGATATTATATACCTCCTATATGACTCGTCACATCGTAAAGGACAACAATTGACAAATGATACGACTATAATAAAAATGTCAAAATCATATTTCAAACTTATCTTATAATGATTCAAAGACAGATAATGAGATAGGTAGGTATTTAGGTTTTCAGGTTTTCGATAATTGATAAAATATCAACAGTAATATTATATTGGTATTTTTGCAATAATATGTTAGTACGTTGTTATGCTGTGTTCTCGAATGTTCTATTATTTTACCAGCAACAATGGAAATAATTAAATCTAACAAAAAAAATGACAAAGTTTGTCTTGATGGTCATATGTACACATTATACTACGAAACTAGTAAAACAATTAAATGGCGATGTTCTAAAAAGTCTTCATTAAAGTGTCCAGCAGTTTTAAGTACGGATAAACAAATAACCGAATATGAAAAAATTCATCGTCATAATCATTTACCAAATCGCAAGGAAGTTATGGTAACCAAAGCGTTGATGAATATGAAAGAAAAATCATGTAAGTACATATATAAATATTATATTATATTATATTATATAGATAATATATAATATATACCTAGTATGTTAATTAATTGGATAGTCATAACATGTCATAACTCATTAGTAGTGTTTCCAATTGCATTAGTATTTTTTTCTATGAATGTCGATAAAACTTTTTTTGTCGGGTAAAAAAGCTTGTAAATTTAATACAAGGTTCCTACTAAATTGTTACTATGACATTTGAAAAATATTCAAGATCTTTGTCACAGTTTTTATTTATAAGTATTTAAAGTTCAAATTTTGACAAAATACGGAAAAATCACGAAAATGAGCAAATTATATTGAGTTGAGAATAAAAAAGCTAGTCAATAGTTTTTTTTTACATTTTTCTGGAAATGTTAACAATATTCTACATATTTAAAATTATTTTGCCTAATATTCATGAGCGTTTATAAGTTCAAATAATAATATTATGTAGATTGTAAACATAAAATATTTTTTTTATAAATACATACAGCCACAACAACTACAAATCTTGTTGAAATATTTGCCAATGGTGTATCAAAATTGGATAAATCAGCAAAGGCTCAAATGCCATCTGAGGATACAGTCAAGAGAACTTTACGTAACCACCGGTCAAAAGGAAATCCAATCGATCCAAAAAGCTTAGAAGACTGTATAATACCACGTAAGTAGTTATTATAATATGATAGTTAAGATTATTTTTAGTATTTTAAATCATTTTGATAGCCACCTGGACGATAAATTCTGATGGACATCGTTTTTTATTGTATGACAATGGAATCGTTGACGAAAATGGCAAATGTAATGCTGATGAAAGAATTGTCATATTTGCAACCGATGAAGTATTATTAAATCTTGCTAAGTCTTCAACTTGGATGATGGATGGAAATTTTGCTCTAGCCCCAGTGATTTTTCAACAACTTTATGTTATAAGAGTAAAGGTAAATATTTATATTATAGTATTATAATATTTTTATAATATTCAATTTAAATTTAAATTCAAGCCTGGATTAAAAAAAAAAAAAAAAACATAAACAAAATTGTTGGAAAACATAGTTAGTTCATTATCTATAGTAATTTTTCGTGGTATAAGATTGAGAATAATTTTGTATTATATATTTTGGGGATAAAGATAAGCCCCAAAATCAATGGGCCCTGGGACAGTGCCCCCTTGCCCCCCCCCTTAATCCGGGCTTGTTTTAATTTAAATATTTATAGAAACTATAGTACTTCAAAACATTGTTTATAAAGTAAATCCTCAATCGACAGTCACACATAAAATATTTAATATAAACCAATTTAATATAAACATATTTTTACAAAATAGAATATATTAATATGTTAAGCTTGTAGTGTTATAGTGGTACTTATTATTAGGTACTTAAATTAATTTAGCTTTATTTTTATATAGATAAATGATATATTTGTTACATCTGCTTTTTGCTTACTTCAAAGAAAAACACAATCAACTTACGAAGTAATGTTCAAAGCCATTATCTCTGAGTGTGAAAAGAGAGACATTTTTCCTGATCCATCTCATATTCATGTAGATTTTGAAAAGGCCATTATTCAAGCTATTCGTAATGTTTTTGGTGAACATTCAGAAGTTAAAGGTTGTTATTACCATTTAACACAAAGCACGCATAGGAAAATCCAGCAGCTTGGTTTGGAAAATTTGTACCGTGAAAATGATGAGTTCATGTTATTTTGTGGACAAGTTGATAGTTTGGCTTTTTTGCCGGTATCTGACATATTTGAAGGAATGTCTCATTTACGTAAAATCATGCCCGAAGAAGCACATGACTTGGTGGAATATTTTGATCAAACCTACGTAAATGGGACATACAGACGTATTGGCCAAGGAAATAAATTGAAATTCCGAAAAGTACCACCTCTTTTTCCACCTGAAATTTGGAATGTACACGAAAGTACATTACATAATATCGAGCGTACAAATAACCAAACTGAAGGTTTCAATAATCGATTTTCTAAGTTGGTAAGCCATAAGCACCCTTCTATTTGGAACCTCATTAAGAAAATGACACTGGAAGTTGCAGCCGATGAGACAAAACTCCAGCAACGGTTATTAGGCACAGTGCAACCAAAAAAAAAACTTAAGAAGTATGAAAAAATGCAATTCAATTTAAAAAAAATATGTGAAGAGTATAGAGATAAGCAACGTGATCTACCAAATTTTTTATTAGCCATATCTCATACCACAAGGTTTACACTATAAATTATATTATGATAAATTTATGTTTTATATTGACGCAATATTAATCCAATATGCATTTAATTTTATACTTGAAATTTTATTTTAACTTATTATAGGTGTACATTTTTGCTATACTTATACGTTATACACTTATGCCTGTAGGTACCTATGCCTTTTTTTCATTTGCTTTTTTTTCCTTGTGCTTTTATTTCATTTGTTTTTTTTTCTTTTGCTTTTTTTTCCTTTTGCTTTTTTTTCATTACTTTTTTTTCCGTTGCTTTTTTTTCAATTGCCTTTTTTTCCTAGATTCACCGTATAGTCCCCCATATCATCAAAATATAAGAAATTGTCACTGACTACCCTCTTATTAGATCGAATATTAAATTTATCATTTTTTGATCTAGAATATTGTTGTATGTAATTGTATGTGTAAGTAAAAATCAAATTGTGAATTACGAAATTAATTAAAATTAAAAATCATTGAAATGATATCTTTATATATATAGTTATACTGTACGTGTGTTTGTCACTGAACTCCTCTTAAACGGCTGGACCGATTTGAATGAAGTTTTTTGTACGCATTTGGGTAACGTCCTGGAAGGTTAAGATTCACAATTGGAGCAGAAAGGTCCGACCCGGGATGTTGCTCGAACCGGGATTTTCATATTTACGAAGGAAATATTTGTTTATATACAGTTGCTATTGGTTATAGGAGAAATATAAATATGTTTAGTAGAAAGTGGTATTTTTTTGTTTATTGGTTGCCTGCTGTGGTTCATAGAGTACAAATAAAATAAATATTTGAAAAAAATGCGTGTCGAAAATCTGCCTATAACTGCCGATTGTGGATTTTCAATTATGGCGTGTGGGGTGGGGGAGAAGCCTGGTCGCATCACCTGCACGTGATTTATACGTGATTTATTAATACATATATAACTTCAACAGTCCACTGTCGACATAATATTGTGTTCGGCGCCAATGCAGCTGCAAGGTGTGGGGATCTTCCGGAGAAACGGAAACCCGCGATCCTTATAAGTTATAACACAATACATCAGTAACCTGCGTGTTCAGTATATTATTCACTTTTCGGCAGAGAGATAAGTAATTTTTTCATTCAAAAGATACTTTTCCAACACTATGCCTATACACTTATTATAATATATTATATCTGTTATAGAACGCATATACACACACTAAACACCAGCAGACCTGCAGTTTATTATAATATTATACGTATAATGCCTTTAGACGTTCTAGCGTTCGGCCGCCCTCGTTCGAAATATGTGTAAAAAAGTCTCATCGTCGTCGTCGTCGTCGTCGTCGTTTTGTATAAGAAAATATCTCGTAAACGGTCATTAAATTCGTGCGTGGGAAATTTCACCAGTCGTGATTGTTGTACGCTCGTAGCAGGTAGGTATATATAATATAAAATACGTATATAATACAGCGTATGTTATAATATTATACTCTCGCGGTCTCGGGAGTCGGGTTTCTCACAAATCATGTGGGGTTGTGTCTTGTGTGGCGACGTCGGCCGAGTGCGATTGTTTTCTCGGCGAGCGCGTTTTAAAAAATACACACACATTTATTTTCTCGCCATCTATATACATAATACCGTGTGTGTTTATATGTATAAATACGTGTGTGTGTGTGTGTGTGTGTGTGTGTGTGTGTGTGTGTGTGTGTGTGTTTCCTCGACGATTGCTCCGAGAAAATTACGGATAAGGTTAGGCGTATATTATTATTATATAGGTATTATAGCCGTTTTATAGGTGTGTTCAACTGCGTGTGTTGTGTCTTGTGAGTACCGCCGAGCTCGCACAATCGTTTATACGCACTGCCGCCGCCGCATACGACAACAATAATAATAATAACAATAATAATAATAATAATAATAATGTAATATACGATTCAATATTCATACCCGCTCCGGTCTCGTCGTCCTGCAGTTATGCGATAAAAATGATAAAATAATCATATATATTACACCGTACGTGGTACGTGTTTTATGCGGTCGAAATGAAATTTAAAATAAATAAAATATCAAACAAACGAGACGTGATCGAGTCTCGTGTAATATGTAAGCCGCAGTACAGTACTTCACACAGAAGTATAATTAACGACAAGGGAGGGTTCCCGATTTCCTCGGACAAGACATTTGTACAGCGCAGATGTCCTTCGAAAGGATTTCCTCTCAACAGCGAGACATATAATATATTATGTCTATTGTCTAATATATATATATATATATAATACGTGGAGCAACATTGTCCTTATATCCTCTGGTGTACCTATACGCCATGCGGTACACTACACAATACACATAATTGTATTATATTAATTATTGCTATTGCGCAGACAATAAATATGGACATACTCCATGTGGACGTGGGTATACTAAAGGAATGGACGAAAGAAGCGTCGGGCTATTATATACTTGTATGATTTTGTTGGGTAGCCCGAAAAGTCCAAGAAGTAGGGTCGAGGTCGCTGTTCTCAACTCATCACCCACATTTAGGGCACAGTCGCATATAGTCGATAAATGATGACTTTTTTTTTTGTAAAACAAAACAATAATATGTTAATATATGTAAATGTAATAAATTAATTCTGATGAGGAATTCGACCATTTGTATATGTATATTTATATTATGTACTTAATATCATCAAATGGATTATGGTGTGTGTGCTAAAATTAAGTTGAAAACGTTATAGATTATTTGAGTTTTTTCGGTATAGTTGCTGTTGTTAACTCCTAAGTCATTACTCATTATGTTGCATAAGAAAATATGGTTGAAATGTATAATTGTACCAAAAATAAGCAGAGATTCCTATGTTGCCTACGCACCACAGTGCATTCGATTGGAATGACTGAATTGACCTGATATTTGATGGTTTGGCAGGGCTCCAGATTGGAATTCCATACACGAGGCCAATTACTATGAACTGGTGTCAAAAGTGATAGTGTCTTTTATATTATAATTTTGTTATGGAGTGTGATTGTGTGATATCCTTGTTTATTATAGGATTAGGAGGGAACGGAGAAGATTTAGTTTGATACTGTCCGAATTTCAATGTATAGTGAAATTAATAAAATGTTTTTGAAATGAAATATAAACTTTTAATAAACCTATCTAACAATGTCGGACGCGCTCGCTCTATTGACCGACGAGTATCTCGGTGTTGACGCGTATACATATTACTATAATTACCTACCTATGTAGTGTGTCGTTATGATGCAAAATATGCCCTGAAGACAGTAGTGAACTATTCATTTAAGTCCGATAACACTTATTAATGCACTATACACATACCAAATGACTAATATACTGTATAATATTATAATTTATATATATGTACAAATGGATCTTGGTCTGTCTGTAATGAATAGAATCAACAACTACTGAACCGTTTGACCGTTTTCAATGAATTGATATATCAATAGATCCCTTGTGAATTGGATGGTGCTAATAGATTATTTTTTCAAGCTCTATAGGGAACTAAATAGTAGCTTACACGTGCATGCTTTTCAGCTCACAAAAAGAATATTTTTTTGTTTGCTTAAATGGTTGCCACTGGTTACATATTGATATTATAATAAATTAGTAGAAATATGGCATGATATATTTGTTTTACAAAATAAATTAGTTTAAAAAAAAAAACAAATCTTTGGTATGGGCAACGCCAGGCGGGATAGCTATTTTTTTTAAGTATTTTATATTATGGACTATAGTATACATTATTACAGTATATCAATACCACAATGGCAATCTTAACAATATTTCCGAATTCAAAGCCGACACAGGAAGGAAATCAAAATATACAACAAACAGCAGTTGTTTTATATATTATATAATACAATATGTGACTATCTCGAGTGAAAAATACGATGAATACTCCGGAATGTTAATATTACATATGCGAAGCCGATTCAATGAAAAATAAGACGTTGCTTTATGCATGTGGTGAGACGAACCCATTGTTTCGCCGGTACCAAAGCCGTTTACTCCTATATTATAATATTTTAGTATACAGAAGAACCCAACAGTAAAAGCAGAATAATATATATTTTTATGAAAAAAAAAAACGATTTTTTTGTACACACCATCGCTTTGGTCCCTGTCGAGTGTCAATGACTTTTTTCTGCAGTGAAATATTTTTGCAAATACAATAAATGGACTTAAAAAATCATCACTAATTCGTATAGTTGAAATCTAAAATTATTTATTTATTATTTCAACATATCTTTAATGAAATATAAAAATATTACAATTACTCGTATTTTCGTTTTCAAGAGTTTTTTCATTTAAGTGTGCAGCAGATAATATACTATCGAGTAGATACCTACAAAATAAAAGATAAGCGCACGGCGAGACTTGGGTGAGGCCCTGTAGACTGTAAGTACATAATTATATATACATCGGCTGTATATTATGTAAGTATGTTTGTTTAAGTATATAATATTAAATATTGTTATGTGCTCTTGTCCACCCTATGCATTACATTATTATTGTCGTCTGCGGCGGCAGCGCGTATAAATGATTGTGCTAGCTCGTGTTGAACACGCCTATATACGGCTATTATACCTGTATATAAGAATATATGCACCTTATCTTATCAGTAATTTTCTCTGGGCAATCGTCAAGGAACACACACACACACACACACACACACACACACACACACACACACACACACACATACACACACACACACACACACACACACACACCGGAGTAAAGTATTTGGGATGCTACTGGTTTTTTGTAGCTCACCAACGCTACAGCTACTCCCCTCTAAAAAATATCTCGCTATCGCTTCTTTTTTTTTTAATGTAATAATGTATTATTGAATGTATTATTTTTTTAATTTAATATGTTACATTTTTTTTATGTTCTTATTGAAAATTGGTAGTTTATAGTTTGTAGTGATTTAACATTTGGTCACTGAACGAGATTTAACTACGCAAGTTAATCGTCTAATAAAACCGCAAGATTCACTAATACACTCATCATTATTTTAATAAAAATAAATAAAAATAATAGTTATAATAATATTTTAACCATCACCAAAAACTAAAAAGGTTGAAGGTAGCGACGAATTTCCGCTACGCTAACCTAAAATGTCGAAGAATTTCGCTAGTATTGAAAAAAAGTAAGCAACAATCACCACACACATTTTATTAAGCGTTTATTTGTTAATTTTTATATTATAAAATGCAGACA